GAGAGGGGGAGTCTCGGACGCCGGCGATGTGTGATTCTCCGGCATAGGAGATCGAAGCTCCATTGCCACAGCAAGTTTCTTCAATCGGTCCGGTGAGGGAGATCGTGTGAGAGGAGTGAAGGGCAGAGGAGACGAGTGTCGGGGGGGAGTCTCCGACGCTGGCAAGGTGTGATTCTCCGGCACAGGAGATCGAAGCTCCATTGCCACAGCAGGTTTCTTCAATCGGTCCGGTGAGGGAGATCGTGTGAGAGAAGTGAAGGGCAGAGGAGAAAATGGAAATGGAAAAATTGAAAACGGGTATTCTTCGTTTTCAGAATGACGGTGGTTTTTGGGAAAAATACAAAAATGATTTTGTTTTCATTTTTTGTCCATTGTTAAACCAAACACCATTTTTATGCCGTTTTCATTTTTTCTCGAAAACGTGAAAAACGTTTTCAAAAAGGAAAACAAACGGGCACATCATTTCTGATTTTGTAAGTAAATACACGATTAAATAGATGAGGAAACACTTCTCTTTTACTTTTTTTTCGTTGCGACCCTAATAGTATCATGATGCTGATTTACCAGTCTAAAATCATGCTTTTGAATTTAGCAACCGGCAAATCATCTTCGGTTTTCTCTTCTCTGTGGCTGACAGTGTTGAACTTCTGTGTTGAATTTTAAGGTTGATCGAGGAGTAAAATCCCCTACTGACATATCCATGGATATCACCAAACTGGTTCAGACACTTGGTATTTCTCCAATTTCATACAGAGATGGAGTGAGATTAACTCTTGCAAGCGAGGCCAATTAGGAGACGTTTGGTAAGGGGATTCATACCATGATTTGAATCATAGTTCATGGTTCGTTACAATATTTTCTCTCACAAAAAATACACGTAAATCGAAAATGATTCTAATCTCATAATTCTAATCTATGAATCAAAAGTCTCCTAATGATTACTTATGATGCTATTTCATTCAATTACCGCCTTACCGTTAAGTAAATGCTATTTTCAGTTCAAGAGTAACTCTATTATATGATTAAAGCATTCTTGTACACAACGAAAACGAAACAATAACAAAAATATATTTCTCCGTACATACTCATGAAAGTCTTAGAGTACTCTCACATTCATCCAACAGTGATCCATTAAATGGATAATTCGTCATTGCCTTTCACATAAATTTGTATTTACTTGTATACGCACCTGCTTATATAGTGCGTAATTGGTGCAAATGGTTCTGAATTCTTTACGGAATTTGCTACTAAAATACGAACTGAGGGACTTAATGGACGAAGTGGCACTTCCTAAGGAGTTCAAGATTATTTGTTTATTTGTATCAATTAGCCTTGTGTATTAAAGTTTTAACTAAAGTACAAAAGAGAGGATTAGACTAGTTGGCTCTAATGCCCCCTTGAATTATCTTTTTTTTTTCTTCCCTTTTTTTGTTTTCCGGGCTAGTACTTCGCTTCCCTATTTTATTAGGACCCCCCATATGGTGATTTGTCCTTGTCGATTCAGTTTCTCTGTTGATAGGATTGAACCCACAATAACATTTATCTCAGTACACATACATATATAAATTTAATAGGAGGGAGTTGGTATCAGTTTGGGACTGCAATCATTTTCCTGTAATTATCACCCGAATTGTCAAGCTTTTGGAAAGTTTGATGAGTTAGTCCTGATGTGGCATTGCCAATTACTTGGCTTTCTCGATGCAAACTAGTTTGCCGGTTAACTTGAAGTAACTCTCTTGGTCTTTAGTTCATTTTATCAATTTGAATTTTTAATTTTAATTTTATTATAATTAAAAAATTTCATAAAAAATCACATTTAATTTTTTCTGTTATAGTAAAAAATTTTTACATAAAATCACATATCAATTCAAATTTAAAATTTGAATTTGTGAACTGAGCGAGACTTAATTTGATCAACTTTTGAATTGAGAAGCAAAGTGCCAATAAATAATAATAATAAACGGTTCTTACTCTCAGTACCTAAGAAAATAATTCAAATGGGTAAAGTGTCAATGAACAACAATATAGTGTCCTTAGAACCTAATAAAATAGTTTAAGAAACAAATTGCAAAGCAAAAAAAGTTTAGGAACGTCAGTGTCAATTAGTGGGGGAAAAAAAGTAAAAGTTATGAATAAAAATAAAAATTTTTAACAATTTTTCGTATAAATTTTAACTCTCAGACACTTTACCACCTCAACTTGCAAACTAGTGCAAACCCCATTTTACTAATCATCAAAAGTGACGCAATTCAAAACTCAGAGTCAACCCTTGAAAATATATTAGTTAAGATTTTCACCTTCTATTTTTAATTCATAATTTTTTTAGTTAAATAGTTACACTAATAAAAGAGTATTTATCAAAAATAAGAGGTAAAGGTCCTGACTCATACATTTTTAATAGTAAATTCTCTATTTTTCGTATTTTATAGGGTAATTTTAACAAATACTCCGTAAAATGGTACCATTAAGGATTTTTGAGTCTCAACATTGGCCTATTAAATTTTATCTATTTGGTGAATTTTGCCCCTTTAGAGTAAGTAATTTGACAGATTATCATCTATAATTTGACAAATTACGCTGCTGTGGGTCTCCGATCACCGGCGGTAGGTCTTCCATGATCGGAAGCGGGCGTGATTTGAAAAATTACTATATATTGACAGATTATTATAAAATGGATAGCCTATCATAGCGTAAGGATAAAACTCCAGTATGATGTCTTTAAGAGTCATTTTTTGCAATTTTCTCAATTTTTTTATATATTTTGTCTCCTTTCCCCCACCGCGCATAGTGGGCCTTATAAACATACAAGCTCGGGTAATTTTGATAAGTACCTCTTAACATGGTACAATTAAGAATTTATAGGTCTCAACATTAGCCTATTGAATTTTACCCTTTTAGAGTATGTAATTTGACAAATTACGCTGACAACGGGTCTCCGGTTATCAACAGCGGACATAATTTGACAAATTACTATATATAATTTGGCAGATTATTATCAAAAGGTAGCCTATCACAGAAAAATAGTAGAACTCCAGAATGATGTGTTTAAGGGTTAATTTTGGATAATCTTGATAAATACCCCTTGAAATTATATGTGTTAAAATTTTTATCATTTACTCTTGATTCATAACATTTTTAGTCAAATAATTATACTAATAAAAAAATATTTATTAAAAATAAAAGATAAAAACTCAAATTTACACGCCTTCAAAAGTAAATTCTCCATTTTTTCCGTCAGTTTTTGCAATATTCCCCACATGCTCAAGACCACTTCGTCGCCCACAAGCCAACACTCCATATCTAAAAGACAAAAACACCCTCCTATTCCACTACATTTGACAAACAAATACCAAACCATCGTTGAGTAAATACGCAGTAGTTATTAGTTGGTCTTCACTCCCCAAGTCCCCAGTCTCAGGTATCACCACCGAACGCATCTCTCTCCTTTCAACTTCACCGTTCCATATATATATATATATATATATTATACGACTTTATATTCCTCCGTGAGATCATGTCGTTTTTCTGTGTAATTGGATTCATCTAATAAATATCCTAATTAGGGTTTTGGTTGTCCAACATTTGAGTTTTCTGATCTAAATTCTTGTGATTAGATTGAAGGAAGAAGAGAGAGGTTTCGATAATCGAGAATGGGAGGAGCTGAGCACGGACATGGTGAAGGAGCTCACGGGGATTTCAGGAGCAAGGTGTGGAGTATGTCGGGGGGGCCCTACTGTAGGCCCAAGCACTGGAAGCGCAACACCGCCATAGCCATGGCCGGCATTTTCCTTATCTGCATCCCCATCGCCATGAAATCCGCCGAGCTTGAGGTCTTTCTCTATTTTTCCCCCTTAAAAAAAATGTCAAATGAGAAATTCTAGGGAAGTGAAAGAAATTGGACTTGCTTTAGGATCTGAGGAACACAGAGCTTTAGCCGTGTCGTTTCTGTTAATACTTCAGTTTCTTAGCTATCAATTAAAGATTCATTTTTTGGGGACAGTATTCCTTTTCTATAATATGATTCTCGGTTTCTAAAAGTTAGTTGCGATAAAATATTGATTTTTCCACGAGATAGTCGTAGATTGTGAGTTTCTTGATCGTTGTTAAAGTGAAGGTTATCTATGCAGTGTTTTGGTTTGTTGAACTACAAGGTCTTGCTCAGAAATGGGATTTTAGGTTAATGATGGTTGAGATTGTGGCATGAAATTGCATTATTTTTTTTTTTTTTTCAAACCCACTTCTTATAAGATATCATAAGGATTGAGGTAGTGGTACAATGTCTAACTTGTTCCCCGGTCCAAGTAAGGTCCTAGTAAAATCATGTATTTTCTTCACTCGTGTTGCTTTTGCAATGGCGCTTGTATGGTAGCTTCATCCTCCAGATGGTCCTTGATAGGGTAACAGTAGAACCTTGATCCATTTTCAACTTGATTGAAGCCGAATATTGACATGCTTTAGGCACAAAGTTGTCTTATATTTATATTTCATACATACTATATATATATATATATATATATATATATTGGATTGTAACTTCTGATAACTATATGCACAGTTTCAAAATTTCTCCTCTAACATGTAGTAATATGACTCTGTGCTTTTAGTTAGTGTACCATAGTGACAATTTTCTTACGCATACTTTACTTAAAAAATCACGTTTCATGGTAGTAACATAAATCTGTGGCCTGTGCTTATGATACATAGTTTGATATTTGATATTGGTACTAAGCATATTTAAAATCAATTTGTGAGAAAAATCTCAAAATATTCCCTTGAACTGCAAAATCCCATGTTCAGCCTTGTCTTCTCAAGAATGACAAAAATATCCCTTTGGATTATCAATCCCTTAAAAATCCCTCCCCTTTGAAACCTCTTAACTGTCTTAATATCATAAATTTTGATAAGATGCTAAGTTCATTTTGAAAATCCTTTTTATCACAGTTGTTCCTAACCTCATTTGAATACAACCCTCCTGCCCAATTTTAAGTAAATCTCGCATTAAAGGGGAATCCTTTTAGGGATTGACAATCTGGGAGGTTGCGTTTTGAATTCCTAAGAATGCAAGGTTGAACATTGCATTTACGTAATGCGGGGGAGGATTTTCTTAATTTGTGGCGGTCATCTAATTTCTAGCGCTTGAAATGATGTGTGGAAGTTTCTGTAGTTTGGCATCCTTTCTCAGGTCTAGGTGGTATGTGCAACTTTTACCGTCACCTATCAGTACTCTAAAAAATACTTTTCTTTGCTTGCCTACTTGGACAAATTTTACGGTGTAGATTATGACTGCTCTTGTTTAAAGTTCTTGGTCCTTGTATTATGCTTATACTTTCTTCTCTAAATAGCCATTTAATAAATGGTACTTTTGGCTCTAGTCTTTTCTCCCTATACTAAAGATGGGCACTGACACTATCGTATTGGTCGAGTATTAGGATAACAATGCCCTTGGCCTTGTTGAAGCATGTAAAGCTGTCTTATGCTTTAATACAAGTTTGTGTTTACCGTATAAGTGGTGGTGTTCAAGATAATATAGTTGCTAATCAGTCTTGTTCATATATTTACAATTTAATGAAAAAAAAAAGGTTATCTTTCTTTTTCGTTTCTCCAGTCTTTTCTTTTCTCTTTTTAGAGAGATCATGTTACTGACTTGATGTTAGATTTAATTCGGGATTAGTTGTCTATATATTTTTTATGTAGCAATGAGAAAAACTTTGGCCATGCATGCGTGTTGCATGTTTAGTTGGGAACTTGGGATGCTTTGTAAGGTTGATATTTTGCACAATGCATCTAAATAGCATCTAAAGGCTTTTTTTTTTTTTTTTTTTGGGAATTTGATTATATTCCTTCAACTGCTGCGCCTATGAGGTTCACTTTTATTTGATTGGAATATTTGTATGAGTTTATGACAACTAGATCTGAGAAGATCATATTTTGTTTCAGCAACGGCCACATTATCCTGTCCGGCCAATTCCCTCGCAACTCTGGTGCAAAAACTTTGGAACTAAAGACTATGAATCCATTAAGGACGTTAAGTGAAAGAACCAGTGGAGGTTGGCTAAACCATAATCTTGCACTTTGGGAAAGCACAATCCTTGTAATTTTTTATTTCTATTTTTATTTGCAGTGAAATATCATGAGCAGCCATTTAGGACTTGCTGTTAGAGATGTTTTTGAAAGTTGAAAAATAACTCATGGCTTGAGTTGTATCTCATTTTACTGTCAATGACAAATAAGTCGCTGACTCGTTTTGCTTGCTTTTCTTTAACAAAATATCCGTATTTGTGATGCTTGTTGCTGAATTATTGGCTTTATCTCGAATCCACCAGTCGTCCCATCTGGAATAATCAATTCCATTTTCTGTCAAATTAAGAATAACCAGGATAGTATTTGTCTTATCAGCAGTTCTATTTTAGCACCAGCAGTGCTAACGCTAGACTTTTGTCCATAACAGTCTGCCATATGAGTTACAGTGCTCTTTAATGACTATTTCTGTAAAGAGTTTAATTTTGTTGACAGCCTCATTATCTCCAAATCTCATCTGATGAGTAGGAAAAGGGTTTTCAGCACTTTTTGGCCTCTTAAATTTCTTGTAAATGTGCAAGTTCTCCTCTGAATTCTTAATTTTGATAAATTATTTTCTAATTAATTGACTTTGTGAAGTGACGCTGAGCTGATAAAAGATGTTTATGTTAAAACAAAAAAAAAAATACAATAAAATAAAATGGTCACGTGGGAAATTGGTTAACTTTCTGGAAGAAGTGGGTGTGTGGGCAAAAGTAAAATGTGTTAATAGGGAGTTTAGTGAAAAATAATGTGGGGAAGTTTACAAAACTATTATATAGAAGTTATCTTCCACATCAGTAATTCACATAAGTAGGGGTAATCTTGAGAGATAAAAGCAGCTAATCATGTTTAAGTATTGTGAAAAAAGCCAATCAAAATAAAACTGAAGGATTAAAAAAAATAATTGACTAATTAAAAAAATAAATAAAGGAAAAAAATAGTTTTTAGTGGGTTTGCTTTAGACATCTATATATATAGACATGTAAGAAAAATGGAAGGAAAGACTACTGATTCCCGTGCAAACTTTGTGCAAGGAAAAAAAAGTGAATTGAGTATATTACGAGTGAAAGTTGAAAAAAAATAGAAGAAAATGGCCAGAGAAAGGGAAAGAAAGGTAAAAAAAAATGTGTGGTTGCAATTCTATCTAGTTCTTCGTGTTTTCTCTCATGATGTATCTCAGTCTTTTTTTTTATAAATTTTTTTATAAACTCTCCCTTGTACTGAAATGCCATCTTCAGAGAAGAAGTTCATTTGTCAGCGTTGATCAGATCCATGCTTCAAGGCGGGTTGCCAATTCTAAACCCAATAAAAAATTATTATGAGGTTGCAAAATTTAGAACCTCTAAAAATAGGGTTGCAAGTTTTAAAGCTCTATAAAATCATGAGGTTACAAGAATCAGAACCTCCAAAAAAATAGAAATAAAGTTGCAAGTTTTAGAACTCTAAAAAAAAAAAAATCATGAGGTTGCAAGATTTAGAACCTCTAAAAAAAATCTAAATAGAGTTGCAAGTTTTAGAACTCTACAAAATCATGAGGTTGCAAGAATTAGAACCTAAAAAAAAAAAAGGGTCTGATTGTTATGATGCAGCCCAAAAAAATATACGTGTGTCTAGATATGTATATATGTGATGAATTTGACCATAATAGTGCAGTTTAAAATATTGTTACAATTTTTAGTCTGCCTTATAAGTGTAGCCCGAAACAAAAATTGATGACCACTTACAAAGAGTGTCTTTGTTTCCTGTAAAAAAAAATGGTAGTCAAAAGATTGAAGAAAAAAATGACCAATGATGAAAGGCTTAAAAAAAAAGAATTACATTTTGTTTAGCAATGTGTAAAAGACTACCTCTCTTTTTGTTCCTTTTTGGCTGAAAAGCAATTACTTTTTTCTTGCTTGGAATGAAAAGATGGCTCTGTATGTAAACGAAAGACAGAATGCATAATGCAATTAAAACTTCGTCAGAATAAATTGACGATTTGATGCAAAAAAAAAAAACAAAGAGAAGAAGACTGGCCGATGGTGAAAGAAAAGAAAAGGCAAATATATATTTTTAAAGAAGTTAAATAAACAATTTGGCTGATGGCTCTACACGCAAATCAAAGGATGATGGCAATTGATGTTGCAGACCAAAGTTTTGATAGAAGCCTAGATTTTCTTCTTCATTCACGTACACACATATATAAGTATCTTTAGTGGCCTTTTTGAAATCCAAACACATCTGAAAAATATGTGTATCATACATCTGTTAAGATGTGATTATTTTCAAAAGTCACAAAAAAAATCTAAAATTCACCCAAAAAATTTAAAGAAATCATTCACCTCACAGATAAAAGATCACAAAATTTCACTTTAAATTTCAAAATTCAAGAACTACGAAGACTTGATTCCATTTTGGATATGTAGGTAACTTAGATATGAAATCTAGGTGCAGACACAATTTTCAAATTCAAATTAAATTCCATATTGGAATTACCCAAACTTAAATCTCAAGTCAAAATTCTAAAATCCTTTTAATTCCTCATACGGTCATATACCTAGGAATTATTCAAATCTAAATTTGAAATAGGAATTATCCAAATTCAAATCTTAAATCAAGTTTTAAAAAGGCCTTTTAATTCCTAACACAGTCATATACCGAGGAATTTTCCACATTTCAAATCTCAAGTCAAATTTTCAAAGTTCTTTTAATTCCTAACACAGTCATACACCAGGAATTATCTAAATTTTAAACCTCAAGTCAAATTTTTAAAGTTCTTTTAATTCCTCAAGCGGTTATACACAAGGAATTATCCAAATACAAATTTCAAATTTAAAACCAAATTATCTAGACACAAACCCCAATTCTAAATTCGAACTACAAGTGGCTTGATCCCTTAACGGGGTATGTAGGCAACTTGACGAAATTCATTGAGTTTTAAATCAACCCAAATTTCCTCACAAGAAAATAGAATTTACTGTTTTAATTGGAATCAAAAGGGTTTTCCTTGTACCAAGGGATTGTAATTAAGAGATTATTCTTATAATCTTGAATGGCTCAAACTAAAAAATAATAAACTCCTATACTAATTAAATCCTAGTATAGGTGAAATTATGTTGTGTGTGAAATATTATTTTAATATTAATAAATATTTTTAAGCAACATAGTTTTTGGCATGCCCGGTGGGACCTATTCTCCTTTTCATCTCTGGTGATAATGGTAATATTTAATTATAATAATCATCTAAATGTAACCATTTGTGTCATTTTATTTTCAAGAATGACACCACAAGTTATCGTGTACTTCCATCAACTCTCATCCGTAAGGATTGCTGGGAGGCAAAAGAAGGTGGGGTTGAAGACGACCTTCGCAATCAATGCGGCACCTACTGCTGCCATAGTGCGAAAAGTTCTTGAGGTTTCCAAAGCGAAGCAATCTTCAAAGGCTCTTTGCAGTAAGGCTGCCAAAGGATATAAGAAGAGACAAGCAAGGTCTGCCAAAAGAAAGTTTAAGCAAGCTGTAAAGACCGCAGCTATTCTCCTTCTGAAGATCGCCGAGGATGCGAAGGTTAAAACAGGTAAAACTATCAAGACTTGTCCTGCAGAAACCGTTAAGATCACGGATCAATGACCAGTTCAGATTATGATTGGTTCAATTCTCATTAACATCGGTACGGTAGAATCTGTTATGATGACTAGTGCTGAAGGGATATCTACTCCAGCTTCTCCAATTACAAAAGAGGTGGACAGCTTCACTACATCACCAAATGTTTCAAAGACTCCCGAAAAGAGTGTACAAAAAGGGAAAGTAAAGGCAATAGTCAGTGAAAGAAAGCAAAAGGGTTTGGTCACTCAATTTGGAGAAAACTCAGTGAAGAAAGTTAAAAGTGATGGACTGAGAATGCCACGAGTGAATCTTGGGCCATTATTCAACGATCAAAACCAAGAGCTAGATGATGAAGGATTGATCATTATGACCAAGAATTGTCCAACGACGAAGCTTACTATTGACGACAAAGTAGAAAGAAATGCAATGGTACCATATAAGGGACCAATCACACAATCAAAGGCACATTGTATGCATGATTCTTCTGGTCCTCAAACGATTAGAGATACACCTCTAATAGGCCAAATGAAAGTGTCAACTGCTGATAACGATATAGAGTCAAGAAATATGCCAATTTTAGTTACTAGAATGATAAGCATGGAGGAGCAAGGTGAGCAAATCCAAGAATTGAGAATGATGCTTCCTGAGAAAAAGGTTGAAATCGCAAGACTCTCTGTACATTTGTAAGAAAATATGGGTGTAGGTCAAACATCTGGAATAGGACAGACATCTGCATCCCCAATATTCCAACCAGGCTTGAGAACTGAGATAAGACACCAGCGGATCCAATACCACAAGCAGACTTGAGGACGTTGATTATGGATGGAATACGAGAATATCAAGCAGTTATGTGTATGCCAGTATTAAGGTACCGAAAGCCTTACCCGGCACATTATGATCAAATTCCTTTACCTCGATATTATGTAAGGCCAAATTTTGAAAAATTCGATGGGATAAGTAGGTCTCCACACGAATATTTGGCATATTATACCTCTGCATGCGGCGAGACTGCTCAATCAGACGTATTATTAATTAGACAATTTGTGCAATCTCTAAAAGGAGCAGCATTCACGTGGTATACACAACTTCCTCCAGGTTCCATTATTACATGGGATGATATGCAAAAAGTATTCCTAGCCCAATTTGTCTCCTCAAAAAAGAAAGTAACAATCACAGATTTAGTGGAAACTAATCAAAGACCAGGGGAAAGTGCAAATGACTTTATCACTAGATGGATGAATCTTAACCTCCAATGTCCGGAAAAATTGACAGAGATTTCTACAGTTTCCATGGGTGCTAATAATCTCATGCCAGAAGTAGCTACTTTTATTGGAACTATGGAACCACAATTTTTTAATGAATTAGTTTCAAAGGCGAGTGTAGTCGAAAGGCTAATAGCTCGTTAGAAAGGTGCCATGATGAGATCTCACCTAAGAGAGAAGAAAGTTAAAAATAAAAGGCCATTAAAAAAGACCGAATCAATGGCTACCTTTGTTAAGAATGACAAGAATCAAAACAAAGGAAAAGCAAGAGAAGAGTTAAAGAAACTCACTCTTAAGGAAAGAAAAAAGATTAAATATTCTTTTGATGATGAGGATGTGGAGCAAATTATTTTTGATAAATTGCTTGCTGCAAAAGCAATAAAACTCCCTGAGCCAAAAAGGATGAATGAGGTTGATA